AGATTTCAATTTGCACATATAGAAGAGATTCGCTTCGCGCATTATTTTTTATGCGTGCAAAGACTTTAAATTACATCTCAGAAGTTCGAATTACCTCGAAAATATATTACAATCAAATTTTTATTATGACAAAAGCCCAGGTTATCGTATTTATGAAATCTTGACAAGAAAACTTCAATGCAGATTTGTGATTACTTATATACTTTTTTTTATTTTTATTCTTATAGTTTTACCATAAAATCATATAAATTTGATATTCAAAAATATATATAAAAAACTATTTTAATATTATCTAAAAAACTTATTCGTTTTTTGTATTGAATATCATAGCGTAAAAATTTTGATGTTTCTCAATCACCGATTAAAAAAATAATACAAAAAGAAAAAATGTAAACTTAATAAATTCACAAGCAGACGTGACGATGACAATAATTAGCGATAATTCATGACGCGCAATTACTATATATACAGACATACATGAGTCGACGCGTATTTCAAAAGCATCCATTAGTTATTTTTTTTTTTCAAATTTGATTTAATAAATTTTCTAAATTTATGTCATTCTCTGAAAGATTGCGCACTTCAATCCCATCTATCTTAAGAATGTTGGAAAAATCAACATAAACATGTTTTGTCTCGTAATTGCTCATTTTTTCAAGACCTTGTAACAATTAAAAATAGCTTTATCATAAATCGTACAATGTGCATGCTTAAACGATCCGCTTGACAATCAAATTGAATTGAAAGATGGATTGTAAGAAGAGAAATCTACGAGCTACAATAAAACGTTAAATATACAAACATGTAAAAATGGCACATTTTTTCGAGTAAAAAACAACGAAATTTCAAATCGTTATCTAAACTTTCACAATTAGTTCGAGTTTTCAAAGATAATTGATGTAATCCGCCAACGAAAGCAGATTTCACTTTCTCACTTTGATCGTAGTATTTGAGATTACATGTGCGACGACGATAAAAGCTTTCGTGAGAATTTCATGTTCAAAAGACTGAAGTATAGCAACTCCGATTGATCTAGTATAATAGTGAGTTGAAGATGCCAGTGACGTGCCATTTTAGTTTTTGGAGTCGTTGCCACAAGACCTGTCACACACGCTCGCGTTTGCTTCCGTCGCGTTAATTGCGAAAATTTTCTTTTATTCAAATAGAGCGAACTTAAGGTCGCTTGATTATCAACGACTTTTCGGCTGAGCGACCTCGTGCGGTCGAATGTGAAAAATTGCACTGTATGATACTGGCATGACCAATGTTACTGAACAAACTTCGTATCGTTTGTATTTGCGCGAGTAAACTTCACAGCTGTTACATTTCGTAAACGAATCGATTGAGAGATTTGTGCTATTTTTATAATGCTAGCATAAAAGTTCTTTTTTAAAACCGCGTCAATATACATATATATATAACCACTGATAGTCAATCGAGATTGCAACAAATCCGCAAAGAACACAATCTATAGACACTGGAAATCAGTTTCGAGTGTTCTCTCAACACAGTTTTTCGAGTTACTTATCGCACGGTTCGCTTTAATTTTAACAAAATTATCTAAATTACAATTATATACGCTTTCGATATTTTTTTCTTTTTTGTTTTTTTTTTACACGCGATACCGCTACAAATTATATACATGTATATATAATATATATTATTTTATTCGCGAATCTCTATAAGTGTATCGTGTATTTCTTGGACAAAGAGAAATAAAAACGTCTATTATTCCTCTCTCTTTTCATATCGCCTCTTGCAATATGCGGATACGTGTGCGACGGTCTAAAAAAAAAAAAGTATGCTTTCGAAATACAATCGCGCAAGGGTATCACGTTTGTCTAATTCGCGCTCTTTTGTCTCTCATTTGCTTCATTCTGTTCAATCACCCTTCTTACGCGCTATTATATGTATACCTATATGCTTGCTTTAAACAATCTATAATCTGCCGCAAGAATTCGGGACAGAATTTCGTCCGCCGTGCGACATCATACAGCCAACATTTGTGAACGATCAAAATATACACGTGTCAAAATATACACGGCACACGCGGAATAATACAAATACAATAAATTGTGTCCCGCGTTCTTTTGCACACTATACAACGTCTAAAGCGAGCTTAACATATTTCGATAAAGATTCCATTTATAATATATATATATATATATATATCTCTGTTTAACATATAATATTGTACATTATGCGAATTAGGTACAATACATACGACGCTATCTACAGATATTATACAAAACCACGAGACATTTTTTGTTTTTTTCTCATGACGCTCTTAAACGAGTTAAATTATTATTTATCGACGTTCATCTTCCGATGCACGCGTAATATGTTCGTATACCTTGTGAATGCATGTCCGTGTGTGTGCACGCGTGTGGAAACGTGTTTGAGAATTGCGCGTGAACCACACCCATGCAGTCACTCTGGTGTTAGAATATAATATTTATACTCTCTCGCGCGCGACGCGATTTTGTGTTTAATTTATATAATGTAGTTTCGTATAGTATCACAAGTTTTTTTACACAACTTTTTTCTACATCGCTTTCGCATTTAGCTGGCACTACTTTTTCGAGACTCACGTCGCCTTCTTGAATTCGTAACAAAATCTTTCTCGGATAAGTTTACGCTTTCAACGTTTAAATCGAGGATCTCTCGAACTTTATCAATCCGGTTCATCGCCGCGAAGCGCATGCAATCGCAACTAATCTATATAGTGGTGAAAAATCGCGAGCGATTTTTTTTATTGATTACTAAGCGATTACTGGTGTTACTTTTACAGAATATCGCTGAGTGCGAAGTTATTTAAATATCAGAGTACTTGCGCGCATCGAAAAACTTTTTTGTACACAAACCAAAGCAATATGTAGACGTAAAGAAAATTAATCACCGCTCTATACCTATTGTTGATTAAAAACATAAAAAAATAAAACGCGATTTTCAAACAAAGATTCTCCTAAGAGTTTGTTACAAAACTGAAAAATTTTAAATTGTTTTATGAGTGGTAGCGAAATGTTTATTGTGAAAAAAATCGTTTGTTGGNATTNTAAANANAANAAAAAAANCCAAAAAAAAAAAAAAAAAAAAAAACAAATACGGAGATCTAGCAGATCAGCAATTATTGACACGCGATTGAAATGTAAGTGTTTGCAATAGTCCGGATTTATTGTTGGCTCTCAACTTCTGTTTATTTTAATAATTATAGATTTATCTGTCAGATAAGAAGTCAATAATTTATTCGACATGTAAATAAACACAACAATAATTACGAAGTGATAATAAGTGACGCTTAAAGCTCAATTGAGATCAATGACCGAATCTAATGGACGTGCGCGTAATCGACAAACGATAATTCCGAAGAAAACGTTATCGTTGCGTATAATATCTCTTCGCGTCGTCAAAAAAAAATCAATATCGTATCAAAGTGAAAAAGAAAAAAGTCACAATCTTGTATAAATTACAATCTTGTAAAAATTTGCGGAAATTAGTGCGCGCAGGAGACAAAATAACTTGCAGGAAAATTTTGATAATAGCTAAACCTACATAACTATTGCGATTTCAAAACGATGTGATGGTAATCACAATAAATTCTCAAGTATGCGCTTGTTACGTAATCTTTCTAATGAACGTGCAAGAAATAGAACAAACTGCGACGGATATATCTTCTTGTATATCGCGTAAAAGTATGTCATTTGAGTGTGTATCGCGAAAAAAACCTCTGTCGTATGATTCAGCGAAAATCGTGCAACCATCGAACGCGCGGTATGATAACCCGGAATGCGTTATGATTCATTGTGCTTGGGCGAATTTTTGATTCCCACGGTACTCTCTTGTCTTCCGATGCGTGCGATGAAATTGAACGATAACGTTCAAATTCGATGAAAATAACGATAACGTGTGTCACTCCCCGTTCGATTGAAAATATAAAAAAAAAACAAATTCTGAAAAAATTAACACGTCTGTATTCCGCGAAATATATATCCGAACTAACAACTCCGAGAGGAGTGGATAAAAGCTCTTTAGATTTGTACCAAATACTTTTGTAGAAAAAAAAAAAAAAAAAAAATAACGTCTACGCGGAATAAAACGATCGCCAGAATTAAACACCCGTATTTTCTAAGTTAACTATATATAAAAAAAAAAAAAAAAAAAAACAAACCTTAGACTAAATCGTCCGCGAAAAATATCACCTAGTCAAGATATGCGATACCGAATTAAGGTGTAACAATAGTGCGAATGTAAAAGACATCGACTCAAAAATAAGAAACGCGTAATCCCCCACGAAGGCGTGAAGAGTGGTCAAATGTGTGCAAATTAGAGGTAAAATATACTGTGTCACGAGGAGTCATAAAAAATGTCAACAGAAAGGAAATCAAACAAATAATGCGTTTCGAGCGATAAACGTCGAAAACCAACGAATTGTCGACAAATAGTTCTCGTTTCGTGAAACATGTAAATTCTTTTTCGGATACTTTATAACCGCAGCAAGAAATGTCAAATAATTTTTTAACGCTGAATATATACGATGTAATTTAACGTCAAATCTATTAGAGCATTATCCGCCGCGCGAAACCAACCGGCACCAATAAACTGACCAACAAAAACCAATTTTCTCGAGACGATGAACCAGAATTGAACGAAAATATCCCGATAAAAAGCCTACCTCCCGACAGCATTTACCGTCTGTAGACGACGTTCTCCTCCTCCTCGTCCTCGTTCTCGTCGTCGTACTCGTCGTCGTCATCGGGCGGCCAGCAAACGACGTCGTCGTCGTTGTCGGGTCGACGACCGCGTCGACGTGATTGCGCCCGTGGCGACAACGAGAAAGTCGACGAAGTCGTCGCGGGCGACGTCGGCGCCGTGGTGGTTGTCGTGCTCGCTGCGGACGCAGGTAAATCCGGCGTCGGTGGTGGCATCGGCGCGGCTGCGGTGGCGACGTAAGCCGCGGCGGCAGCGACTCAGGCCAAAGCGTAAGGATGAGTGGCGTGATGTCACAAACCGGCAGTAGCAACGGCAGGCGGCGGCGGAGCGCTCGTGGTCGTCACGTTGGTGGCATGATGATAGAGCGGGCTCTGGTAATATTCTTGATGATGGTGGTTCGTCATGTGCATCGGACCGGCGGCGTTCGTGCCGGCGTGCATGCCGTTGTGGTGATGGTGGCTCGGAGGCGCCGAATGCGCGTGCGGATGATGGGGCGAACTGAAATTTGCGTAACTTTGGTGCAGTTCGTACATCTTCATCTCCGGCGGTTTGGTATCTTGAGCACCGGGCGATGTGCCGGCTGTATCGCGCGGCAATAACCTGTTGATGCTGAACGGATGACTGGTCGCCGTGTACAACGGTTCCTGTTTCAGACTGCCCGGCATACCGTGATGCAGACTCGCGGTATCGGACAACAAGTGCGGATGTGCAAGACTGCGATTCACCATAGCGGTTAGCTCGTCGTGTGCGGCGCCGAGATCGGGTCCGAGGAGACCGCCTATGTCGGTGGTGTCGCTTTTCAGAGAAGTGTGATGCTGATGCAGACTGGCCGTGTGATGGTGGTGGTGCGAGGATACCAGCGAGTGAAGATCCTTGTCGTCTTGCTGCTGAGGACCGCCGTGGTGGATCGATGAACCGGTCTTCTTAGAACCGGGCGCGCCTTCGTGAGTGGGTGGACTGTGGCTGGCGATGTTTACGCTCGATGCCGCCGCAGCCACCACCGCCGCCGTCGCTTGATGCTGCTGATGCTGTTGGTGCTTGTTGGTCTGCCTAGTCAGCTCCTTCTTTTCGTCCTTGAACCTCTTCTGGCGCCGTAGAAAACATCCGTTCTCAAACATGTTGCCGCTGTCCGGATGAAGCGTCCAGAATGATCCCTTGCCGGGTTTGTCCGGCGTGCGCGGCACCTTGACGAAGCAATCGTTAAAACTGAGAGAATGCCTGATCGAGTTCTGCCAGCGTTGTTGATTCTGTCTGTAGAACGGAAATAGATCCATAATGAACTGATAGATCTCGGAAAGCGTGAGCATCTTGTGCGGTGCGTTCTGTATTGCCATAGTGATCAGGCTGATGTAGGAATACGGCGGTTTCGCGTGCGTGTAACTACGTCGATAGGACTTGTCGGTTCGTGCGCGCTGCAACGCCGAATTCGGCGAATCCGGTTCGGTTAGAGAACCGAGAGGATCGCGACTGACACCGCCGGCGGTACCGGTTGTCAGCGGTCCGTATCCGACGCAAGTACCGCTGGTGCTCATGGCCGCCCCATTGTAACCCGCCATACTCGCCATGCCGCCGCTTCCCATCGTTGTCATTCCCATCGTGCCCATGGTGCCCATGTTGAAACCGCTGGTACCTTGCGGACTGCAGTTAGGTCCGACGCCCATCGACATGCCCATCGGCATCATCGGATTCGCGATCGAGGTGTACGAGGGCGCGATGTTGGTGGACATCGTGGTCATGACGCCCGTATCGCCGTACAGCGACTTTTGCTGGAGCATGGTCATAGAGCTGACCGGTGGCGTGGTGGCCTGCTGTCGCGTCGTCGCTGTCAAACGGGAGTCATGAAACCCGAAGTACCACGGTTGCTGGCAGTCTGGTATTTCCTTAATTTTCCCTACCGAACAAATTTTTACGACGTTCTTTTACGCGCTTTCAGTTCGCTTTGCGAACTGCGCGTAAACCTTGGCTCCGGTTGTGTCGGCGAATCACGAGTCACAGAAATCCTTCAATTCGTACGCACAAGAACAGAAGGCATGCGGCGCAGCGGCAAGCCTTACACACTCAAGATTCACCAAAAAAACCAAATAAAAACCGAAACAATTTCACCTATTTCTTCCGGAATAGTTGTAAATACACTGAACGACACACTTAAGTTGACAGAAATTCCCTTCTGCAATTGAAAGGAATCACCGCGTCTTGTGTCTCGTTCTCGAGTAAAATTGTCACAATTTTTTCTGTGAATTTGAGGAAACTTGCGAGAAGGTGTGTGCGTACACTTCGTCAGCGGAACATCGGAGATGCGATGCAACAAGACGGAGCGCACTGTGTCCTCTTCCTTCTTCTTCCGATTTTCTTCTTCTTCTTCTTCTTCTTCGTTAGCACACTGTCGGCACTATGGTTTGGTTTGGTGCATATATGGCTCAAAGGACCGTTTCAAGCTAGTCCATACGCCATTCTAAGTCTTTAGGAATCGTGACACAGGTTCTAAACCGTGGTTTGGGTACAAGCCACGGAGTTGTACGTTCGTTAAAAATACTGATAAACTGAAGAAATCGGTGTAAAAACACCGAAGATTGTCCAAAAATATCTAAGCGTAACTACGCACATCTAACCGGTACGGCTGATGCAACACCACTTTTTTTTCAGATACTGTCGGCACTATCCGTTTGTTTCGCGGGAAGATGCGTATTTACGAGAGAGAAAACGCGCGAACCCGAGCGAGAGGACACCCCCTGGTGTATCTCGGAGAAAATAAAAGAGAAATTGTGTTACCCCAACACCATGAGGGCACGACAGATCGTTCTCTCGCGTGTTGTATGACGAGTGCGCGAAACAACAAACCACTACGACGACGGCTGTTCACGTCGGTCGCGCGCGCGGTCAGTTTGATCGAGCGGGGCCTGTTTGTAAGGCCGCCTCACCACCTCTCACCACACACTCCACCTCGTACCAAACGGGGTTTCTCTCTTCTCTCTGTATGCCGTGCTGTGGATGGAGGCTGGTTAGCGAGTGTACTCCGGTACTCTTCAGCCAGCGGGTCTTGTTCAAACAGTCCCCACCACTGATCGCCGTGCACCGCACCCGATGGCGCTGGGCTGACCAATCGCGACCGAATGTTCCTCCAGTAGTACCCGGTCCGGCCAATCGGACGGTGATACTGGTGTGGCCGATCCCCTCGACTGACGTTCAGAAACGCGCGTCTTCGAATATGTGCGTGTGGCGCCACGACCTCTTCCCCTCCGTCGCTCGTGCTCGGCGACGTCGGATGGAGGACGAGGAATTGCTGGTGCGCATGTGTTGTGGCCCGCGCGCGCAACGGGACGTTCTTCGCGGAGCGAAACTGGTTTGCGCAATTCACGCGATCACGACGTGCATAACAACGGTGGCCGTGTGGGCCGCGCGACGACCGCGCCGCGGTGCGGATCGACGCGGCGCAACCCGCTTCACTTCTTCTCTCATGTCACTGATGTCAACTGTCGTCTGCTACACACGTTTGACAGCAGCGGTTTTCTTGTGCGTGCTTTGATGCATCTTATCAACATCTCTCGGGCGTATCGTGCGTACCTTTTCCCTCACGCGCGCATTTTCTATTTCGTTTCCGAAATGTTGAAAAGCACTCTTTTTTCTCTTGTTGTATATATACATCTCTCTCTTATATATATATATATACATATATATATAGAAAGAGAGAGATCTCCTAAATCTGAGATTATCTCGTAACAAATGCATGAATCAAAAGTTTTCAACTCTGCAATATCGTTTTCGTTAAGCCAGAGAGTCAATGGTGAAATGAATGAGGTGGACTGTTCGTAATTTAATACAAATGTCTTCTGGAAAGTGCGAGGAAAACAACTTATCTCCCCGCTCTGCCAACAAAATCGGAGTTTGGAATACAATGTAGAAAACAGGTACGATATTGTTTTGCATGTCGCGATTTAAATTCTTGATTTAGGCAGGTGTTTTTAAATGAATATATCTGCGACGTGTGAAAAAGCCCGGACTCTATATATATATATGTTTCAAGTTTGATCCATTTATTAACAAGTAAACATACGCGTCACGTTTGTTCGCGCCATTGTAATTTAGAAAAAATATTTATATTTACAGTAAGATGAAAAAAAACAAATGACCATTTCTTACTTGAATTCCAAATAATCATCGATCATCGATTTATCTTGAGCGTTACGAACATATAGGGCGCGTGTGTTTTAAACAAATGTTAGCGGCATGGATTTGTGAACACAACGAATATACCGTGTGTATGACGAATTTTTTCTGTTTGTATTCTCGATACAAGCAAACTCGCTCGAAAGGTTAATATCAGACATTTCTGATGTCGTATTTTAAATCAAATTTCGCTTTTGAATTAACACGCGCGAATTCGTTTTTTTTTTTAGTCTTTATTTGTGCAGATTTTCACGAGACCTGTTCAATCGATAAAAGCGCGAGCGCTATACTTACATTTCTGTCGTTTTTTTTTTTCATGCGTTCTTCGGCGCAATAATGTTGTTAGACATTGCTCGTGCACGTTAAATATGTTGCGGCCGAATAATTTTTGCACCAAAACAGTCGCGTGAAACAACATATATCGATTCACGCGGCAGAAAGAGAGAGAGAGAAAAAAATAGATCGTGTATACGTACGGCCTTTTAAATCTAATCCCGGGATGTAAAAGCGCGAAGAAGAATATCGCGGAATATCGTTTCGTCGCCGCGAGAAATCGACGGCACACAACTCGACGATTCAAGCGTTTAGAGTCGGCTAATACTTTACTCGAGAGATTCGTAAACACACACATACACAATATATAGTTATATATATACACACACATATATATATATATATATATATATACATATATGTACATGTGTGTATGTATATACATGTATATACAGGCGTGTTCGTTACAACGTTAGATCCTCACCGAGCACCCACCTGTACGCTGGGTCTTTATCGAGCCACGAATTGTTTGCGGAATGAAAATATTGTCCCTGTAAACAAGTGACTACATTGTGCCGGGCGAGCGCCGTTCTCTTCGTTATAACAAATCGCTCCCTCCACGCTGCCTGGTGGACCCTTGGAACACAAGTATGCGCGATCGAGAAAGAGAGAGAGAGAGAGAAATACAGAAGCTGTTTGTTTCCGTAATATAAATATCTATCTTTAATCTATGATTAATTACGAGTTACTATTTGTGCCCTAGATTATGCATTTTGTGAATTTATATTGAAAAGAATACTTGATGAACGACTGTGTCAATAAATCAAGTTTTTTCAACTCTTACATTTCCTTAATTTAATAACTTTCGATTAACTGTTGACAAAAAATTCATTGTATTTTTATAATGTAAATCTTTTTTATAATAGAATATATTTACATCGGCTATTTGCACAAGTAAAAAAACTTAATAGATTGAAGTAGCTTTATAGCTTTAAAAATCTAGTAATTTTCATTGAGAAATGATCAATTGAGATTGAATTTTTTAACTGCATTTTTATCAATGTCTCGGCTAGAAGCACAAATGCGTTACATCTAGTGCGTGATTATACACAAATTCGTGTGACGCGACGCGCAGCCGGAACGGTTTATTTGAAAATTTTATATGCCTCAAAATTGCCTCGTTTAATTTTTATTTGCCGCAGTTTATTAACGATTCATTTATTATGTATGAACGTGGATTATGAGGTGATCATCGTATGCCGAAAATGCCACTATTATTCCGACGGTAATAAATCAATTGATTATTTAATGCAAACAGAGCAATATTTTAAAACGCTCAACAGTTTATAATATGAAAAAAGAGAGAGAGAGAGAGAGAGAGAGAGAGAGAGAGAGAGAGAGAGAGATAGAAAAAAGCTATATATAAAAAAAAAGATATTTCTATTTCACCGCAAAATATTTATAAAAAGTTCACGAAAACAAAGAAATAAAAACAAAAATTTTGGAAATTTATAACGGTCAGATTTTTGTGATGTGATTAAACATTTCGACAAACCACCGATTCGTGATCATTGTTTTTTACATATAAATTATCACACGATCGGATTCTTTCTTTATCGGAAATTTGTGTTTAACTTTCAAACTCGTGAAAGACCGAGACTTGATAAAAAAAAGTGTTTTGTCATTTTTATAAGAGAAACAAAAAGGATGACAGGACATATAAGGTTGTGACTTTGTGGAGTTCCTAAAGGATCTACCTGGATCCATGTGGGTGGTCTCTGCCTCTCTTACTCCTCTCGTTTCTCGTATTATTAGCGCTGGTGATAACTCGTCAGTACACAAGAGCGCTATACTGCCCTTCCTTCTCACGGACCTTCGTTCATTTCTCACTTTTTTTTCTTTATGCGAGTATGTGCGCATGCGTGTGTGCGTGTGCATGCGCGCGCGCGTTGCTATCCGCACGCGTCATGCATGCGTGCATTTATCAAAGATGACGACTTTTTTTTATATACAAAATGTCATTCTTACATATTTTTTGGTTTTTCATTCAGTTATTTTGTTAGTTTCTTTTAATACCACATAAAAGTATTTCCTAATGTTTCGGAAGATATATATATTTGTCTATCTTTTTAAGATACGAGAATGTGTAAACTTTGATAATTCTCCCAAACAGTGTTTTCAGAGCGAGCTTTAGTTTTTTTAACAAACATGATGGCATAAATGTCATTTTTAGATCATCAAGCGAGATGTCAAAAACACAGATGCGATAGTAAAATAAAAAAAACTTACCTTTTTTGTACGTCTTTAACGGGTGTTTTCGAAATCGGTCCGAGATTTCGATCAGTCTTTCGTATATTTTTGAAGAATCTCCAGTAGATACTTCTCGACCTAGAAAAATATTTCGGAACGTGGATGGACAGAAGATTTGTGCAGAGCGAATATACCTGTCGCGTCGCGCGATTGCGGACAAAACGTTTCTGACATCGTCGGGATTTGTTGTCTTAAGGATTTATTTACAACCCCTATGTCACAAAGTCACCATTTTGCGAAGCGAAAAATAGTCAGTCGTTCATCTTCACGATTCTACGTCCCGAACATGACACGGTGCAATACAGATTGTTTTGACACAACTCGTAACTCGCTTAACAATAGAAAAAAAGTATGTAAATGCAGGCAAAAATAAACTAGTAAATAATAATCTTCGAAAATAAATATCATTTAAATGACGATTTACATACTGTGTAAATAATAGTTTCAGAAGATGTTTTTTCACAGTGTGAAAATCGCCTTATTGAACGCGTACGGAATTTTTCATGAAAAAAATCATACATGTACAGCGTACGTCCCAAGATAATAGTTCCACGTTGATTAACACGTGAAAATAAACGTCCGTACGACCGCGCGGGATGACGCAAAAGCGAATTGTATATCAATATTGTTCGGAAAGTCGGTAAATAATAACGCATCGATAGTTTCTAAATGTTAATTAATTCTAAATTGCAATTATCCGATAATAGCCGTTGGATGTTTGCGGTTCATTCGCGTAGCGAGCCACGATGTCGCAATTTGCTTTCGAAAATTGAATTCATCATCACAAAGAGTGGTAATTATACGAATTTAACTCGCGCGCGCGCGCGCGCGTAGATGAAAATAAATTGCAACATTTAGTGTGTTATAAATGCTTAGCCTATAATGTTACATACATTTGCCAAACATAATTTGTTAAATATTATTTAGAAAAAAACACGTAGATATGTATTTACGTAACTATTTCTACAATGTAATTATTTACAGTTTTCTTGAGAAAAAAAATTTTAATTTAATTTTATATTTTTTATTTTCTTTCAATAAGCGATTGATCGATGTGATAAAATTAAAAAACCAAAACTTATAACTCACGATTTTCGAATTGAGTTATTCGAATTTTCAAATATGGATTGACTATATAGGAGGGGGGACCGCGAAGAAACCGCGGATATATGGGAGAGAGTAGCGCGGGCATATTGAGTCACTTAAAAAACGATATTTCGATGTGTGCTTTATCGGGCACGAGCGCGGCGCAGACCAGATAGTCACGTGCTGTGCGTGCCTCGTCGAGGATTTCCCAGATTTGCGATCCCCGAATCTCACCAGTCGTCCTCTATCTCCAACGAAAACCCCGGCTGCGAGGCGCACCCTCGATCAGGCCGAAGGCAAAAATAATAGACTCGTCGCGCGCGTTTTCATTCCCCGGTGTGTCGGCGTAATGGCGAGATCGGCCGCTATTATCAGCTAGAACTCCTGGGTTTTTTTTTTATATAAAAGTCTTCTCCGCGTCCACATCCTAACGAGAAGAACCGATGCGAATCGCGAAAATTTCATATCAAACGGTTTAAATATTTTTGCACGAGATAACAGCGGCGCGTTGAAAATTCCGCATTTATGCAACGTCTTCCGATCGACCGCAGTTATGCAAAATAAACTTCGTTATTGCCTCTCTTCTTTTTTGCCACCAAAATCCACCGCATTATGAAAGTACTTTTCTAATTATGTGAGTCCTGTTCACAAAAGTTCGATAATGCTATTTCTTTTGAATTAAAATGTTATTATTTTTTTTTTATCGCAAATCAACATGTATTGTGATCGCGCGAATGATTCTGTCGCAGTTTGAGAATGAACGTGAAACTGTGTTTTGTTTACGGTATTTCGTAACGTTCTCCGCGTCCTCAGAAACGGACCACGAGAAGATTTTCGATATTTTCCAAGCGAGAAGGACGTTCTTGCACGCGCGCGTGTAAAAGCACGTATGTAGCGAATCGATTGTGCAAACAAGAACCGCCCCCGTCTATCGTCCTCTCGTTAAATTTCTGTTTCACCGTTTCAATGCAAACGTTGCGAGATATAAAAGTTGCAAGCAGGCCATCAGGCCAATCCGAGAAGTTTCGCTCTGTTTGCTCGGCGCATCTAACTTATTAATAGCGTTTAATATCGCGTATAAATAGATCTCTATTTGAATATATGGCGGTTTCCCATAGAGTTATGTGTGGCTGATATGTGTGCGTCGTAATAGTTTTTCTGAAAATTTACTAAATCATTTTTTCTCGCATTAGCGTGTAAATAAAACATCGCGCTGCTTTTGCGGTTCGCGAAGATATTTTTAAACACGACACATTTCTTCGTCTTTTATGTGAAATTGAAACATTACGTGATTGCGATCAGAATAGGTGTTTTTCTTTTTGTTTTTTTTGTACACAAATGACACGTAAGACAATTTTAATTAAACATTACTCTCTATTTTTAAAATCTCATTTGTAGAGCGGCACAGATATATGTCACGGTTTACTTCCGCATTTTATTTCTCTCGTGTGAAGTTTGCACACACACTTATTACAAGTCCAAGAAGTCCAGCGGTCACGTTTACCGTTAAGTGTGGACAGGGACACAGGCCTCGGTCATTTTTAACGAGTGTCGCGGGACATTAGTCGAAGTCGATCGATGAAAGCATTGGAGGGTAGGCAGGTGGTAGATGAGTCGCGCGCCGATCAAACGCTTCGAATTGGCAGCGATTTCTCGGCCAGCGGCCACCCCTGGTCGGCCCAGTCCTCACTTCCGTCGAGTCAATTTTAATAATTCCATCCTTCCCTCCGCCTCCTATGCGATTCACCTTCGTGCCGCGCGATGACTCGCACGATTTTTCCGACGGGCTTTCAATTATCCAAAAGGATCTCGCTCCCACAAGAGCGAGCGTTGCCTCGCGAAATATCGATCGCTCTCGGACGCTCTCTTTTTCTCTCTTTCTGGACGATCGTCGCATTAGCAACGGTGTAGGTCCCTCCGTACCGGAAGTGGGCGGAACGAGAAATTACGAGCTGTAGTAACGAGAACGGCGCGTTATCGTCGCTCGCAATTACGACTCTTATATATACGACATGAACGTTCTTTGGAAAAGCACACAGACCCTGCGCGCGCCTTCGTCGGTTAATCGAACGATTGCGACAGAGGGGGTGTCCCGAAATTATCGTGCGCAGCTCTACGTAAGCTTTTTTGGTGAAGCATATTATTTGTTTCTTTTTACTAGAAAAACTCTAGTAGTATTCTGTAAGAAGAAATATTTTTAATTATTATATCAATTGTGTTACCTGACAAAAATTCATTAATGACAACGTGAGTTTCTGTAAAAAGGCAATTTTCGAATTTAAAGAGACTATTTTCTACATTTCAATCTCGTTATTGAATAATGAATGTCAACTCAATAAATTAGTTTGTTCTGACTTTTTTAATTTAAGATTTTGTTTACTGAATTCCGTTATGCCCATTGAAAATGTACAAAACTAGTCAACGAAGTCAAGCGTTTGAAGACTACAGGTTTGTTATTTGAATTAACAATTTTGGAAAATATCTGTCTATATAAAACAATCTCTATACTTGTTTTCAAGAAATATAAAATATAACGGACTAAAAAAAAAGACATAAAAACATATCGACGCAACGTATAAGCTTAGGGTAAAATCCGAATATTCTTGCTAATACAACCCTTTTTTGCAGAAAACGGATATTCCTAGTCGTAAAAGGGAGAGCTGCGAGAACAACATTGTCATAAAGTGATAATCGATTTATGAGGCCGGTACTTTTGACTATAGCTCTCAGCATTATCTTTCAAAAAAGAAGCGAAATTCTGCTAAGTTTTAGGTATCTTATGCAATATGCCGCAACAGCAATAAAAACATGCAATTTTAGAATAAGAGAAAATTGAAAAATTTGTCTGTATATCATTTTATCTATCGTCTCAAAGTATTTTATTATCTCTCATTCACAATACCGATTCGATTTCTCGTACTAATTGTGAGAAAAATCATCGTTCAATTCTTTGTCACTAAAACAGAAATAATATGTCAATTACGTTCTAAGTATTTTCTTTATAATTATTCGTTATTTTACTCACTTATTTAATACTTCAACAATTTCTGAAAAAAAAAACAAAAATAATTATTTATTAAATTTGCAATTTCTTTCTTAAAAATTAATTCCTACTATTGGAATCACAATAGAAAAAAAAAAATATACATGTATATAAGAGATAAATTATATGTGGCAGACAAAATAGCGCTTATTGCAACGCATTCCCGTGCAATTTATTTTTGCTCGTATATTTCTTTCAACCAGATCAAAGCGACATCATCAACGTAATCGATATATTGGACCTTTTATTGTTTCAGTTCAATCTTCGTGGGAGGCTACGCGTAGCGCGTAAAGATAAACATCCATATGCAAGAATAACATCTTCTAGATCCCTCTAATCACAACACTCGAAGGATACCCTGTACATAAACGAGAAACATGAGTAGAAAAACACTTTTGATGAAACTATCAGAAAAATGGGAGAGTAGCCTGGCAATTCATCAAATAATATCATTATTCGCACAGAAAAACTAGTATTGCACACAAATAATCGGAAAGAAATTGACAAAAAAAGTTTTTGAAACAAAAATAGTGACTTAGGAAAGATTGCGAATTTTTTTTTCATAAATAAGGAATTTTATTCGAATTTTATTTTGATACATTTCACGTTGTCTTCCACAACGTTTTGCGATATAATTGAAAATAGAACAACCTTGAACACGGTCAATTCTAATGGCACTTCAAGTTAACTAAAGAAAATAGTGTTATATTGTTTTTTGTATACGTTACATATAGTAGTAGGTATTATGAATGTCTTAAATAGAAAAGGTTTTAAGAATGTTTATCGCACTTCTTACATCAAATCGTTGTTTAACAACGATTAAGAAGTTCTTATTTATAACGTATTTTGTTCGATTCTCTCTGGCTTTACATTTTTCTGCCGATGTCTCTTTTCTCTGTTTTTTATTTATTAGTACGTGTTTTGTGAAAGTTTTGGGTACGTTTCTTTGAAAAAACGCCTTGTAAACCCGGTTAGCTGGGACGCAATATATATATATATATAAATGTTACTACTACTATTTATTAGTACGTATAATATAGAAGCTTGTTAAATAACAATTTGATGCAAGAACTTTTACAACCGCGTGTATAGTAGATTCTTGTTGGACAACAATTTGATGTAAGACGTTTTTGCATGCAGTCGTAAAGTTGCGTAAAGTAAATAACTCTTATATCATATAATTTTTAATTCTTCACCTCCTCCTCTGTATATATTCATGTCCTAAAACTTAAAAAACATTCGATCTTCAATTTGAGACTTTTTTCAATGTTTTGTTTTTTTTAATAAATATGTAGGTATAAGAGTCGTTCGAGACATAAAAACTTTGCCTTTTAGCGCAAATAACAATAAATAAATAATACAAGAGTCTTTTTATCAGAAATTATTGCTAAATTTATGTTGTGAATAATTGGTGAATTAAGAATTGATAGAAGTTTGGCGAAAGTATGGAACTCTTTTTTTTTTTTTGTTATCTTTGATTCATCCAAACAAAAAATTTATATCAAAATTAAATAATTGAGTAATAATTTAGTTTCTATCAATTCTTTTTAAACTAATTAATTCTTTGTGCAGACATATCTCAACAAAACGTATATTAGAGCAAAATAAACAAAATAAACATTATACATTATATATCTTTAGAGAGGCACATGTGAGAGAAATCTGCGACACTGCTCGATACTTACCGAACAAAATTGTGTTCGGCAAGTTTATCTTATCGCAGCAGTAACTTTATGATTATTTCAAGTTTGGAAGGAGCTTAACACAAATTTTCTGTATGAAGTAAACTGGATAACGATCGCTTATCATATAAAGCTGCAACGATGTTACTACACTGTATAATTTAATAAATGTGCTGCACAGTTATGCAAAGTCTGAATCGCATTCACACGCGACGAATAGTATTGCGAGACTCCTCTTCTCCGCGATTATTCCCTACAAAAAGTTACAAAAATATGACACAGTATCTACTTATTACAATATGTGATTAGAACGCGTTATTACTTGAAAATTACATTTATTGCCAGTCGAGAGAAGATGTACCGATAGAAATATCTATCATAACAAATTAACGGAATGTCTCTAAATTACTAATATTTCGACAACAATTGTAAAGTGAATAAACAAACTTGCGTATATATAATCTCGTAACTGTGTGCGATAGCATGTATGATTCAAAATCAGAAATGGTACTAATTACACTCTTAATCTAAATGATAAACTATACATTTCTATTGGCAGTCTTAGCCGCAAATAAATGAATAATTAATCTCATTTTTTTTCAAACATTTAGTTTTGGCAAATTCGTTTGCGTACGCGAAATTATTAAGTTGATTATTTATATTTAATAACATAGTAAATAAAACGTAAAATATTGCAAATGTAAATATTTTTTTGTGGAAATAAATAATCTATTTTAATATAATTGCTTAAATTTATGGAGAGAGACAAAGAAGAATTATGTACTTATCATCATATATACAATGTACATTATCGCTCAAAAGTTTAAAAATCACAACAATGTTAAAAGGAGTCAGAAAATTTTATTACTTATCTGTTGATAAGAATAAACACATTTACGAGATGGTAAAACGTAAGAATTTTAAAACGCTTAAGAGTGCGAGATTATGACAGATGATAGAATATCATAGAATAGGTACGTAAAAGTATTTATTGTTTTTGCGAATATAAATTTGGTGTACCCAAACTTTTGAGCGGAAGTGTATTATCATAAATACGTAATTTATATACTTTTTTCGTGAAGATATATGCTAATAATAACAGTAAAAAGTTTTAATAATTATATATACATGTATAAAGATGGCTACAAAATAATATAATTGCTACCTAAAAACAAACTCGAAATGTATATGGTTACATATCTATATATAAATATGCATGCATAATATAATTGTATTTATATATGTATGTATTCTCCTCATAGAGACATATAATATACATAGACTACGCGTTTCCCTATCAATTCGACGAGTAAAAAATGCGCAATTTTTAGAGAGAGACAGAGAACTGTCGTTCTTATTCTCTGTTTAGCGACGTGATGATTGGCAGACAAGAAGAATGGGAATGAGAAATAGCATAAAAGAGAAAGGAGCGATAAAGGAGCGACAGTTAAAACGGCCAATACGCAGCGTTGCTGAGTTGTCTCTCCACTTCAGACAGAAATAGATAAACGGTTTTGCTAGCATCTCTCTCTCTGTTTCTTTCTAAAAATGACTCACTCTCCCTTCAACATGCGCAGTCTATTTATTATATATCTGTGATATTCTTACAATATACACGCGTACGTATGCATGTGTATGATTTCGTATTTTATTATTATTATATTTTTCTATATAAAAAAAAAAAAAAAATAAAAAGGCAGTGTAAATACAAAAACAACGTCGTTATAGATAAAAATATAATATTTACGTGAATACATATGTGCCAAGCAAATTTGCACACCTTATAGATGCGTACATATATATGAAATAATTTACAGTATTTTTTTTAAATTACATGAATCGAAAAATATTTGATTGTCTAAATCATTCAAGTTCCATTACTCTAAATACAATGAAAGCAAATGTTTTTTAGATTTTATTGTATACTGTCATTACGTTTCAATTTTTCTATAATTATTAATCATTGTGTGCAAAAATGTTGTGTATAATATAATTTAACAAAAACTTACATTTAATAGTAATAAATAAATATTTTGAGAAAATATGTACGAATTAACCGAACAAGTCCTACTAATAATCGATAATCTACCTCTATATATATGTAAATATGTATATAAATAATTGCTCTTTATATTCGAAATCGAAGATGCATAACGATCGCTCGTGAGCAATGGGTGAACAATCGCGAATGAAGACCACGATAAAAATATGCTACTGATAAAATAATATCTTTGATGGATATGCTCTGGCACTTAACGAGCGAGAATAATTTTATGGAAAGGCAATATGTACAATTAATATGTTACGGTGAAAAAATGATTATATCAATATTTTTATAAATATTTTTTATAGAATTATCTTCTCGATAAATCTATATAAAATCACCGACTCTATTGTGGTAATGTACCAAAAGCTTGAAATTGTAAGTACATTGTATAAAGCAATCAATATAAATTAAATAATTGTATAAGTAATATCAAGAAAGTTAAAATTGTCCATCACATAACTAGAAATTTTTCAAAGAAATACAGACGTTTGAAAAACATTTCAACTTTCTTGACCAATAATTCTGATAATTAATATCAGAAAGTTAGACTTACTTTCGAATTAAGTAACATAATATTTTGATATGTTTCACCATAACATATATAAGGCAATAATCGCATTACAACACATGCTCAAAGATCGGTTACAGGTCCGGATAGATTTAAACTATTGTCGATCACTGTCTTGGAATCATTTGTGATCGATGAAGTTTTGTTACTTTTACTGTATGCCTCTGATATCTCGTCGACGTCATTGTCATCATTGTTGTCATTGTCGTTCTCTGTCCCGTCTTCCTCATCATCCGATGATGATAACGACGACAGCGCTTGATTAGTCGATTTCCTGATCGGATCTTCGATAACGGGACACATACCGGAAGTCAGGACGTCGCGAATCTTGCTTACAGTTTCCGTGACCGTGGTTTTGTCCACCCTTCTACGCAGTATCTCCACCAGCTTCTCCAGTCTGACAAATTACGTTTTTGTGTACACGTTACGCATGTGTTCGTGCTGATTTGAATTCATGCCGTTCTTCCACCGTAAATGCATCCACAGAAATTGTGCAACAATTTTTTTAGAAGCAAGCAAAGCAAATGTTTCAGCAAAAAGCCATGCTGCCGGCTAGAAAACAGAAGAAAACGACGCGATTCGATGCTTGCTGTCCAGATGAAGCGTATATTGTGAGAATTCCTTTCGAAACAAGAAAGATCAATGGATCTTCAAGGAACAGGAGGAGTCTTGCAAGCGGGATTGCATTCACGATATAATGTACATGTGCACGATTTTGCCAAAAGAGATATAAAATTAATTGAGCAAAAGTTTAATCTATAAATTATTATAACACGTTAATATTATTACTGTACTGTACAATATTATATACATGCATCAAGTATGAGATTTTATTACAATTTAGAAAAAAAACATGTGAAACATGTAAATTTACTTTATTAAATTTTTGATTAAACTTTCGCTATCATTTATTATCAAGCTTTTTTTTAAGAACAAATTTTATCGTTAAATTTATCTAATTAAAACTCTAAAACTAATAAGTTTGTTATTACATTCTTTGTCATAAAACATATATCTTACATACAATTTTTTGCAAATATTATTAAAAAAAAAAAAATACATAATTCTCTCTAATTCTATTATGGCAATTGTGATTTTAACTTTGTAACTTGTTACATTCATTTGCAAGAAAACTAGCATTTTTGGCAAAAAATATTTGAGTGTTAAAATAAATGATTTTTAAAATATCTGTACAATAGCATATAACATACATATACAAATTGTAAAATTTATAAACTTACGACATGTATGTACATATACTATACGTATAAAGTAAATAGAATTTGTCACATAAAATTATTCAATCATGCAGAAAATGGTAATTTTGTCAGATTTTTCGACGTTTATATTGTGGGAATATATATATACATGTACACATATATAAGAGTATATACATAGATTATTAAGAATAAAAAAACATTTGGTAAAAAAAACAAAATTCTTAGACTGATATATCAATAACACACATACACACAGATGTATTAACACTAATCTTTTGTAACCATAATATAAGTTAAATCAAAACAGTTTTTATTTTATATTTATATGTTTGTTTTTACATGGATGTATATATATTCTATGCATTTTGATTTATATTTGTGACTGTGTCTGTGTAAACACATATAATATTATATTCTTACGTGTATGCGTAGGAATATAAAAATGTATACGAACACATGCACGTGTGTGCGATAATTGTATAAAGTCGCACTATATTTAAGTATCTATTTATTTAACTGTTTGCACAATCACGGTATGGTAATTCTATACATACTACTAACGACACCGTTATCGTTAACATACAGTTGTGCAGGTATTTTGTCATATACATTTTATCTACGCAAAAGTACGTTAACATAGCGACATTGTCGTTAATAGTTACAGAATCGCAATACTGATTACCGTTCATTATTACGTTCTGCGATTAATTTGATGCTGTTTGCACCACATCAACTACATGATAAAATTTTAATGCATATATTACGTTGTTTGTCGATGTGTAAGAAATGTGTGATGATTATTTTCTTAGATTCTCGATTCTATATTTGTAAGCTTGAATGCCTTTAGCAAACACACAGCAAGCTAATGTTTTGCGACAGAAAAATGTACTTTGACGCGAAAATGTTTCCAGTCAATGCGCAAATTCGATTGCAAAAGATCAAGCAACAAATGAAGTCATATATACATGCACAAATATTTGAACACTAATCTACTCTATGTTTTATAACGAATAAATAAAAACTAGTTTTTATTTGTAAAAAGAAGTATTACAAAAAAGTAAACAAATGTATCTACTGGAATAAAAGAAAGCTACTAGTATTTTCTCTAGTTAATAATTAGATAAGAGATTATTCTTTTCATATTTGTTTTTAAAATATAGCACACGGCAAAAACAGTTTTTGTTATAATGGGAGAGAAGTGGCAAATACGAGGCAAAAACCAGACCTTCGGATCTGACCGAGATCTGTCGGTGGCCGTCGCGCTAGTTATTAGTTCGCGCTGTTTTTCGGGATATCATCTCCGAAAAGACGTTAGTGTTATCTTTTGTTAGCGGCTATATACAGCTGATGGACTGAGTTTTTCCTATATCTACAAATTTTGAACACTAAGGAAGGCCCGAATTTGGGATCGAAACGTTTGTTAAAATAATTTTTTCAAATAAAGAAGTTTGTTGACCGGTAGATCTGGTTTTTGCCTCGTATTTGCCACTTCTCTTTTCCATTGTAACAGTTTTTGTATTGTGAAATATCATGACTTGAACATGGCATGGATAAATTACGTTATTTTCAATATCAACATTATTATAGTTAAATTGCTTTCTGTCTCTCTCTGTCTCTCTCTTTCTGTCTCTGATATACCGAGATGACATAATTCCCCTAAAAATGAAGCGTGGCACAGCTAAAAAAGCATAAGCACGACGAACGTATATGAAAAAAAGCATGCATGACAAGTGAACAATAGAACCTACGTGCTATTCGACATGTACATAGTAGTAGCCTCTAGTTAGAAGCCCCTTGAAGCCCCCTTTCGTGGATATTGGCGATGAGTAGTGTGGTATTGCGATTTTATTTTTGCATCTTTTGCTCGGGGGGCGCCCCGCGCGTACGTGACCTAGATATAGGCGGTGGTGTAGGTGGCGCGTGAAGGTGCTGTTTGGGTTCTGGAGGTCAAGGGTCTCGTCGAGCAGAGGTCTTTCGGCACGATGGAGCCACCGTAGACCACAGCAACGTCTGGCACCTCGGTGATGGAGCGACTCGTGTGATCGTCATTGGCGCAACTATTCTCGTCCTCGCTCGTCATGTCACGACCTGTCTCAGCCAAACTTAACGGTCTCACTGGAATTCTCTCGTTCAGAACCCTAGTGTCTTGACGCAAGTTCTTGTCAGACTTATCAGTCTCGCTGAACGATCTCTTTAAGTTGTTTTTTTTTCGTCGTGGTTTCTTAAAGCTGCCTCGCTGAGTGCGAACATCGCACATTCCCGGCAACCTAGTCACGTGGTCAATCGAATTCTTCTCTTTACTCGCTACATCGTTCGGTTTTTGTTTATCAGTTGAATCTTCCTGCTGTTTCAGAACACTCGACGACGATAAAGAAGGTTTTGCTTCATTCTTTTCTGTTGTCACTTTCTTATTTACTTCTAAATATTTTCTAGGAAGATGATCGTTCGATGGTTCAATCAGGGTGTCGGTTTGCATTTTCTCATCAATCGTTAATGATTTCATTTTCTCATCGGAACACTCGGTCTTCTCCTGATTGAGCAAAAGCAAATAATCGGTTGATCTCCTCACAGGTATTTCCCATAAAGTTTTGTTAGTATCACCGGACTCTGAATTCGGATTCTCATGTTTGTTCCGACGCTCAACTGCCACGTTTGTGGCATTGTTGTTTGTGCGAAGCAGTTGATAGAGTATCGTGTCTGAATAATGTTCTTTTCCGTTCTCTATCGGCTGTGGTACATCTTCACGAGACGCAGACGAAGTTCCAGAACTTTGACAATTATCCGTCGTCTCAGAAACGAACAAACGGGCGGCCGCCACCTCCGCGGAACGAGAACAGAAAACGGACGAGGAAGTGGCCGATGAGATTGCGGATTGTGGAAGGACGGGAGGCAAGGAACAACTATCTGTAAGAGCGGTACGCACGGGGGTGCTGGTTATATGGGGCGTATCGAAAGTTACAGGCGAGACAGATCTTGATACCGCGAAGTTTACGCACTTTGCCACATGGTTCTCGGCTAGTGTCCTGGATGCCCGTGCCTCTTGGAGCTCTCGTCGAAGCGCAAGGGTCTCCTCCTCGAAGGCTGCGATCTCGCGACCTTCATTGCTAGTGTGAATAGAAGAGATTCTTGTTTTGTTTCTGCCAAGAATGAGCTCCCATTGATTGCGGACACATTCAATGTACGATAGATTTAGAGATCAAGTTTGTTTTTCGACAAAACAAGATAGAAAATTCGTCGTACGTAAGTGTATGAAAAACTTATACGTGCTTTTTTATGTGCATAAAAAATTATGAGCGGGAAATAGAATAAATGCAGCTAAAAAAACTAATACAGAATTAAAAAACCAAACTTTTAGCAATCTTTATCAGATATGCTTGAAAATTCACTCTGTTGCAGTATTTTTTGATATATACATCTCGTTAAAACAATGTGTATATCTTATATTATGTAGGTAGGTCGATAAAAATAGGTAAGTAAGGTATGCAGGTAAATAGGCGTGTGTACGTCAAATACAAACAAAATACAAATAAAACTCGAAGCACAAGCTTCTATAAATATTTACAAATATTAAATAAGTACTCACGTTGCACTGAGTTTTAACGCCGTCACTTCCTCTTCCAATTTCGCAATACGTTGATCGCTATTTTCCTTTTCTTTTACAACCTGCGATATTTGATTCTGTAACAAGAAAACAACTTGGCATCGCAAACTCGTATATATTTGCATCAAGCTACAAAGTTATTCTAGTTATCTGTAGCAATTATTTGAATATTTCAAATCAGTTTGCTATAAAACTAACGCAAACCGTGAAGTATTATTCAATTTTCTCTCTTGTCTGTTTTATCAACTTTAGTTTTTTCTTCTGCTTAATACATTTAACGATAAATATGCTTGGTAACACATAAAAACAAAGAGAAGCTGCGATAATCTTGATCGGCTCTCACGTGCAACAGAATTTACACGGATATGGAGAAGGAAGGTGGAAGAGTCCCGAGGGTTCAATTACGAGATTGCCAATATGCAGGCGACATGGCGGTGGCGGCCATCGCTTCGGCTGATGAGGCTAATGGATGGTTGAAACCCGAGAAGATACGGCAAAGAGGAAAAAGAGGCCAAGGGAGAGGCCCCTGACAGCCGCTAAGTGCGCTCCATCCTTTTCCACCCTTCTCTTCTCCCCATCTGACCGAATCCCCCTCTCTTCCCGTCCCTTTGGTCCCCGCCCCGTTCCCTCTCTGTCCCCATACACTCTGTTCGTTCTGTGAATGCCCTTATGTGAAACCTAATCACTTTTAGCGCGTCACGGATATTTCGTATTATGTCTACATTGCGTTCTCCGATATCGGCCGTCTCTTCTATGATTCGACCTTCTCCCTTCTTCCACAAAGTTAAGTCGTACATGTTGCAAGCTTTAATCGGCTGATGCGTTTCTCAAGGATAACCCTTGAATCAAATTTTTTCGAGATTTCGTATTAAATAATAATATTGCGCTTTTCTTATTCAACGTATTTTTATACTTTATTGTTTACTTTACCTTCTAATCGTATGATACAAAAGCATGCATGTTTCTTCGTATGTTATGCATTTTCCCAACGCTTTGTTAAAGTAAAGAAAACGTGTAATCTAAGCGTAAAATTAAGTAAAAAACCATTATTGAAATGAATGAGTTCTCTCAATAAATATAATGCGAACAAATAAAACAACTAAAACCGATTATACTGATTTCGCATATACATAATAAATTGAATAAAAGAGAAGTTCGTGGAAAGAATCGAAATGAGCGCTACGTGATCATCCAGTGGTCCTAATCAAATAGAACGCAGGAACGTCTGCGCAAACACTACGTCGCATGATCGTAACCCGGAAGAACGGATGCGCCGAAAATATTGGGCCTAGTGCTCGTATTACATGCACGTCTCAATCATAAAATGATACGAGTGCGGCATAAGAAAAAAGGGGTTTGCTATTACCTTTGTTTTCTATTCCCACATTCTTCAAACTATTGACAGCTTACAGTATATTTCTCTTTATCAATATCTTTCTTTTTTCAATATCTCCGTAAATTTAGACAAATGTAGGAAAATAAAAATAAAAAAAAATAAGAAAAATACATTATGACAGAAAACTTGCAAAAGTATTTTACCTTGAGTACATAATTGTAATTAGAAATTCAATTGTATTAAAAAAAACAACTTCTAATTACTTACTCTCAGTTCTTCCACTTCTCTTGCTTGGTGATTATATCTTTCTTCAAATATAGCTTTCACTTTTATGGTTAAGCTTTCTTCACAATTCTTATTAGCTTCTCTGATTTCTCGCACAAGTTCTAAAATAAATAAATATAATTTTATGCATAATAAATGTCTGATACTTAAAATATGCGGCAGAAAATTATTATAACAATTGTTTTTTTTATTTTGAAGTTACCTGATAACATTCCAGGTTGATAATCTGTGGGAGAATTATATTTACAATATGCCAATTTTGCTTTTACATTTTCTAAATTTGTTTTTGTTTCACTAAGTTCTTTGAACAGTAGGCTGTTGCACTTTTTTAGCTCTGTCATCTGTAACATATTACAAAGTTATATGTTAGCAATACAAATCAAATGCTTAAAAAAATATTATTATTATAAAATATTATTATAAATTTGAATTAAAAAAAGGATACAAACCTGTTCAATAAGTGATAAAACAAGTTTGTTGCTACAGCTGATTGTTGTTATAGAACTTCCGCTCTCAATACTCTCAGAATCGCTGTCTGAATGATGTACATTTTCAGCTGGTCCAAGTCCAGGATCGGAATATCTTCTGTGTTCTGCATTTAGTTCATCACTATTGATACTGCTATCTTTGTTGGCAGTAGGTGGTAAACTGGCATAATCTCCATTTTGATAAGCACTATTTACAGTAGATTCCAAATGTCCATTTTCTTGCAGACTTCCGTAACCATTAGCAATAGTATTATTGGTGACAGACTGAACATTAGCTAGGTGTTCATTGCAGTGATGTCTACGTCTACCATGGCTGGCTCTAATATTTGGCATCGCCATCGGCTGATATATTCTGTACATCCCCGGTAATGAGACAGGCTGCATAGTGTATGTTACTGGCATTGGCGAGTAACCGCATACACTTGGATCAGACATTGCTGTGAATAGACGTTGTCCATTACCCGGGACATTTTGCGGTACACTGGCTGACTGCCACAACATCTGTGGATATTCCGTACCCGACATTAGACCAACATCTTGATCGTTTTGGGGATTATTTGGCCACATATCCAACGCAGTATCCACCAAGTTGTTCTTGCGACTGGACCGTCTCTTGCTCTTTCTCGAGTGATTCGGCAAATTCTGACGTGGTGATCTCGAAGGATCTGACAACCTGCAAAATTGATTACCTTGTTTTAATAGCAAAACATAACCTCGTGCGACAGCGAGAACGATAAAATCAAAATCGTTAGATTTGTACTAACCTCTTCTCCATCTTTGCAGTCGGCTTGATTTGCATCAAGAGTCAGTTCTATGCAACAGCGTGTACATCCGCAAATAGAGACGCTGAACTTGTTTCGATTTTTTGCCTGTAAGTCACGATCGAGAGATATCCCTCGATTTCTCCAACAGTGCTTAAATGGGGGTGACAAACAGAGATCGTGCAACGTACAACCTTTGACAATCTTCGCGCTATAGTAACGCGCACTAGCGCACTCTTATGGAATGTGAGCGGAACTATATTTAGATCTTTTTATCAGTATCTATTATCAGCAAAAATAATAGTGCACGCGATTTCGAACACCGTGTCGATTTTTGATACATATACATATATATACATAGCTTTCAACAACTTTTTCTTGACGTTAGCGTCAAGTCGATGTCACGTGACTACATTCGACACTGAAACGAGCGTGCCGTGAATTCGCATCTTTGATGATTTTTAATCTTCAAACCAAAAATGGCATCTGGCGAAAGACAGTCAAGAAATGAAAAACACGACGCTATCTTTTGCGAGCTATCTAGCGATTTGGACCCGAAAATTACAGAGATTGAGAGCTTGTGTGTCGAGTGTGAGAAAAATGTAAACTCTTTGTGATTAGTTAATTTCACACCGATTGAAAATTATTTGTCAGGTTAGAATGCATTTTCTAATAAATTTATTTTGGATATTTACTTTAGGGCATTACCAGGTTACTGTTGACAAAGATTCCACATTACAAAGATGTGATACTTATGTCATTCGAGTGCGAACACTGTGGCTATCAAAACAATGAAATAGAAAGTGGTGGGAAAATAGAAGAAAGAGGAGTCAAAATAACACTGCAAGTTGCAACTCCCCAAGATTTAAACCGTCAAGTGGTTAAATCTGATTACACTAGTATTCATATTCCTCACGTGGATTTTGAAATTCCAGCGCAATCTCAAAAAGGAGAGATTACAACTGTGGAAGGAATAATTGATAAGAGCATTAGGGCATTAGAACAGGACCAGCCAAAACGACGCGAAGAATTTCCAGACACCGCGGTTGAAATAGATCTGTTTATTAGTAAATTACATGCGCTAAAAATATTAGATGAACCATTTACTATTATTTTCCAAGATATTTCTGGAAATACTCACGTAGAAAATCCAAAAGCACCGATAAAAGATAGTCAGTGTACTGTAACATATTTTAAAAGAACAAAAGAACAGAATCATACGCTAGGAATTTATTCAGAAAATGAAGATGTCTTACTAAAACCCATACAAGAAGGAAAATATTCTTTGGAAGAAATTGAAAGTGAAGTATTATCATTTCGTACCAACTGTCCAATATGCAACAGTCTGTGTGAAACAAATATGAAACTGACAAGTATCCTTTAGTTACATCATCAAAATTTATATAAATTAAAGTGTAAATCAAAAATATGTTTTTAAAATTACCAAAGTTGACTAATACACTACTTTGATTTAGTTTTTATAATTTTAACATTGCATTGTTAAAGAATTTTATATGAGATTATCTATATTGTTGTAGAGATATTTCTTATTTAATTTTTCCTTAAAATAATGTTAAGATGTACCATATTTCAAGGAAGTTGTCATAATGGCTACGATTTGCGAATCTTGTGGTCATAGAACTAATGAAGTGAAAAGCGGCGGTGGAATCGAACCTCAGGGCGTTAAAATTGAGGTGACCGTAACAGGGAAAGAAGATTTCAGTCGTAATTTACTCAAATCAGAAACTTGCAATATGGAGATACCTGAACTCGAGTTGGAAGTCGGCCCAGCTCTTTTAGGCGGTCGGTTCACGACTGTCGAAGGAATTATAACGACGATAAAAGATCAATTGTCTTCATCCACGACTTTTACCGGCGACAGTAGTGATTCGGAAACTGTGAAAAAGATGGAATTATTTATTGCTCAACTGGAAGAGATTTTAAGTAGTCAAAGAAAAGTAACTTTGATTTTAGATGATCCGGCTGGAAATAGCTATGTGCAAAGTCTTTCCGATGATGGGCCTGACGATAGATTGAAGATCATAAAATATGACAGAAGCTTTGAGCAGAATGAAGAACTAGGACTTAATGACATAAAAGTTGAGAATTACTAAGCTTTTGTTTAAAATAAAAGAGGGTAATCTCAAAAGTCAAAAGTCCCATCAAATATGTACAGTCATAATATCATTGAAAAAGAAATAAGATAGTAGGGTATCAGCCTGATACTTGAAACTGATGAAGTGAGCTGAAATGTTCACGAAACGTCGGTATAAAAATGACACTAACATGGTTCAAACCCGAAAAACATCTTTGAATGTTAATACAGCACACTGCGAAGACGTCAAATATCAAATGAGATAAGTGTTTCCATTAATATTAATTGTAAAGATTATTGTTAGAAATAACTCGAATTGTGTAAATACAAATATCATATTTTAATAATTACGAATTTACACTATTTATTTAATGTTTTCCACTTTAATCGTTTAATCTTCAACAGCTTGCCTGGAAAAAAAATAAATTGTTCTAGAAAGGTACATATTTGTACAAGTATATAAAAGATTATATACAGAGTGTTCCACCCCCTAACTTGAGCATCCTAAGTATCTCACTCATTTTTTATGATAGGAGGATGCCGAAAAGGGTCATTATTCAGTTCGAGGAGACAAATACTGTAATAAACAAGAACTTTTTGGATTCGTCTTGACCTTGCCTATCATATCGCGAAGATAAAAATATGTACTTTCAGATAAAAAAAACGATGACCTTGAAATTTTTAAAAATTGACCTTCAAAAAAATTTCCTGTTTATTACTATTTATTATTACTGTTTATTATTATTTCCTGTTTGTATTTGTTTCCTCGAACTGAATAATGATCCCTTTCGGCATCCTCCTATCATAAAAAATAAGCGAGATATTTAGGACGCTCAAGTTAGGTGGGACACCCTGTATATTGCAAAAAACTTGACGTACACGATTGGTATTGCGTCGAGTTTTTTCAAGTTAGGCAGTCGCTTTGTAACTTGCGCACGCCATGATTCTACATCCATGTGCTCGCATAAAGGATTGTTAATGAATAACAAATCCTGAAGATTAGGTATTTCCAGCAAACGATTAAATTCCGCCCAATCTTTTACCAGATTGTTACTCATATATAAGACTTTCAGCGCTTTGAGAACGTTGACACCTTTGATTTTTTCGATCAAGTTATAGGATATCCATAATTCTTCTAAATGATCTCCAATAGCCTCTAATCCAGAAAATGTTTTTATATTGTTCCTGCTCACAGACAAGATCCTCAAATATCTCAATGAATGAATACCGCTGATCTTTTCTATCATATTCGTTGACAATGATAATTTTCTGTATGTTTAAAAGAGAAACTTTATTTCTTCGTTGTTAAGTTTTTTTCGTTTATAAATGCTAATATTAATTTAAAACCACAGTTAACATACTCGACGTTGATCAACGCTGCCAAATTATTATCCATTCTCTCAATCGGAGGCCACTGAAAAGATAAAATTATCTCTTTTTGCTTGCCAGCAGCCAGTCCTGTTTTTTCTTCCCATTTTTGAATGGCTTCTTTACATGTCGTCGCTTTAGCCTACAATTCTTCCAGAAATATATACAATATACTAAAGAATTTCAGGTATTTTTTTATTATATTACCATAATTTTTTTCAATAAGAATTTTATATTTTTTCTCTAGCCGTATGTGTGTTAAATTATATTTTCTTGCAACAACAAAATAAATGCATGCGATGAAGTAGCGAGAGATAGCAATGAACATATAGGCGAATATTACAATCTTCGAAAAGATTGAACTTATCGAGAAATATACATAGTGAGAACAAAACCTCTCGATAGCAGTTTGTAAAATTTGTTTTGACATTCTATTCAATTTCAAAATTTGCCGCGCGCATGAATTATCTTAGGGTGGAGATGTGGCTCCAAGGCCCTTGTTAAGCTAAGTCCATACGCCATATAAATATCTAGTTATTGTTTGCGTAAAAGTGACAGTTTAAAGAGAAACGATACCTGTAGCCATAGACGTATAAGAAATAGACTGCGCGTGTGAGAGGGGAAGTGAGTCAAACTTCGGAGTGAGACAGATGCTTTCACCCGAGTCTCTGTCTCTGTCTTTCAGCACCTGGAGTGAGGACTCCCCACTCGGAAGACAACTCCATAGAATGTCTATGCTGTCAATCGCGGGCGTATTCCGTTTGACCACGGTACAATTGGACACAGTACGATTGCACACGTACTATTGGACACGTACGATTAGACACGGTACGATTGACCACCGTACGATTGACCACCGTACGATTCGACACCAAATTATTCGACACTGTACAATTCGACACAGAACAAGCACTATGCATCGTGACAATTAATAATAGTAGCAACACAGGTTAGGGTTAGGTTAGGTTTTTTTTCGGGGAGGGGGTGCAGGGGGAGG